AACCAACCCCCCTCTTCTGGAAATCAGAAACCTTCTGCCCATGGCAGGTTTCCTTCTGGTCCACTGAGGAGAGAGAGGCTAGAAGCTAGTCCAAGCAGACTTGCAGACTACCAGGTGTCAGCATCCCCCTAAGTAACCACCCCCGGTGCACATACATTGAAATTATTCCAAGGGGTAGTGTACTGTTGCCCACACACAGTTCCTCTGTCAACGTAACAAAGACACGACAAGACCGATGTGAGTCACCACCGTCCTTACGTGATCCTTTCTAAATGGGGAGTGTGTTTCCTACGACTGTGTTTATTTGTGTCAGTTAATTGTGTGTGCGTATCACTGCCGCAGATGCCTAGAGATACCTGACTTGGTTTTCTAGCGGAAAATACCAGGACTTTTAGCATAGAGGTTATGTCTGAGATCTTTTTAGTTTTTTAAATGTTATTTAATTGTAATAAATCATTTTATTGGGGGTTCTTACAACTCTTATCACAATCCATACATACATCAATTGTGTAAAGCCCATTTGTACATTCATTGCCCTCATCATTCTCAAAACATTTGCTCTCCACTTAAACCCCTGGCATCAGCAACTCTCATAGCAATCCATACATCCATTTGGCCAAGCACATTTGTGCATAGGTTGCCATCGTCCTTTTCAAAACATTTTCTTTCTACTTGAGCCCTTGGTATTGGCTCCTCATTTTTTTCCTCCTTCCCCCACCTCCCGCCCTCATGAACCCTTGATAATTTATAAATTATTTTTATTTTAATATCTTACACCGTCCATTGTCTCCCAAATGTGCATTTCTAATGAGCTTACTGGTAAGGTTGATGCTGTGGATCTGAGAACCACACTTTATGAACTAATTTTTTAAATCATTTTATTGGGGGGCTCTTACAGCTCTTTTAACATTCCATATATCAATTGTATCAAACATATTTGTATATATGTTGCCATCATCATTTCCCAAATATTTTCTTTCTACTTGAGTCCTTCCCTCCCCCCTCCGCCCCCCCACTTGTGACCCCTGGATAAATTATACATTATTATTATTAGATCTGAGATTCTGGGGAGGAGATGAGCCAGTCAGGGTGCGATGTAGCAACGATGAAAAATACAACTTTCCTCTAGTTCCTAAATGTTTCCTCCCCGCTCCCACTATCATGACACGAAATCTACCTTGCAAGTCTGGCTAGACCAGAGGATGTACACTGGTACAGATAGGAACTGGAAATACGGGGAATCCTGGGTGGATGATCCCTACAGGACCAGTGGTGTGAGTGGATACTGGGAGGGTAGAGGGAGAGTGAGTGGGAAAGAGGGAACCGATTACAAGGAACTATATGTGACCTCCTCCCTGGGGGACAGACAACAGAAAAGTGGGTGAAGGGAAACATCAGACAGGGCAAGATATGATAAAATAACAATTTATAAATTATCAAGGGCTCATGAGGGAGGGGGGAGCGGGGAGGGAGGGGAAAAATGAGGACCTAATACCGGGGACTTAAGTAGAGAGGAAATGTTTTGAGAATGATGAGGGCAATGAATGTACAAATGCGCTTTACACAATTGATGTATGTATGGATTGTGATAAGAGTTGTATGAGCCCCTAATAAAATGATTTTATTTAAAAAGAAAAAGAACAGTTTAAATCCATCTCCATACTTCCATTGGCGAGAGAGATGGCATTCTGTAGGCCCTGGTCACCCGGCCTTGTCACTGTCCACTTTCGCCCTCACTCCTCTGCTGGACCGGAGTTCTCGGCAGTTGGTGACCGCACTTACTTCTCCAGCATCCCAGCGCCAGCTCTGAGCCCCACACTGAGTGCTCCCCCTGTGAATGAGTCAGCGAGGACCTCCTGGGGGAGAGGAGGGGTCGGGTATTGGAAGGATGGATAAACGGCAGTGGTCAGCGTGTGGGTGAATCACTAGTGGGCGGGAAGTGAGTGGAAGCCTGGCTGGCCGCTCAGTGCCCTGAATGACAGGGGCAGCCTGTGCTTTGTGTTTAATGGAAGGAGAGCAGAGCCCTTTGGGCCAGAGCAGTCAGGGAGGTCTTCCCAGGAGGAGGGAATGGGGCTGTCCTGGAAGACTCCATGACCATGGGGTTTATAGGTAAAGACCCAGGAGGACTTCAATAAAAGGAATGGGAGGGGGGGCAGCAAGGGTTGTTTCAGCTGCTTGAGGGGAGGAGTCGACAGAGAATAAAGGATCAGGCCAGATCCTAGCAGACTTTTGTTTGGAAATGACACTTCCGTAGCCTACCAGGAATTGTTACTGTTAGGTACTGCCAAATCTGTTCCCACCCATAGCAGCCCTGTGTGAAGGAAGGTGGGACGCTGCCCTGGCCTGTGCCGTCCTCGAAGCTGTGCCCGTGCCTGAACTCATTGCCACTGTGTGGGTCCTTCTTGGAGGTCTTCCCCTTTTGTGATTGATTAACCTCCACTGAGTGAGGCTAATTGTCTGCTGGTTTATGGGACTTCAGCCTCACCGCAAGTTCCCTCTCTGCAGTCAAGCAAATAACTTCAGAGAGGGAAAGTGACTTGCACGGCATCACACAGCAGAGCAGGGATTTGAGCTGCTGGAGTCACAACAGGGTTTCTTCCTGTTCTTGTTCCGGCCTCTTGCCACCCGGTCTGTCCCTCAGGTCATGGAGAGCAGAAGAGGGCTCTCAACCGGGGCAGGGTGGGGGTGGGGATGTCTGGTATTAGGTGTGTGTATCTGCCAGGGTGGCTCCCCAGCTCCGCTGCAAGCCTGAGCCTCTCTTCCATCCTCTGATCAGAGCCTCCTCCCCTTGAAGCCGCTGGGTGAAAGCATCCTGCTGGACCCCAGCCCACCCACCGGGCTCCTGGGGCCGGAGGGCCTGGTCGAGTCCGGGTGGGAGGGGAAGAGACGGAAGGGAGTGGGGGGGAATGGGAGCAGCACCCAGAGACCCCGGCAGTGGGTCCCGAGCAAGCTGGGGTGTCTCTCCTGCAGAGTCAGCAGGTCATTGATGTCGAAGGGCCCCTGGAGATCATCTAGTCCTGCGCCTTCTATGGTTGACAGAGGGGCCTGAGACCCAGGGCCACCCAGGAGCCAGGGGCAGACCTTTTCCCTGAAGCCACACCTCTTTACGCTCAAGTCCATGCCACTTGCGAAGGTGGTAGTCTGTGCCAAGCTGGGACAGGTGGCAGAGGCAGGCAGAACGGCTGCCTAGCTCTGCCACCAACCTGCTGTGTGACCTTGGGCTGGTCACGTCCCTTCTCTGAACCTCCTGCTCTCTTCAAAATAAGATCATGAGCCCAGCCCTACCTTTCTGCCAAGGAAGGTCCGGGGAGAGATGAACTTGGAACACTCTTTACAATCTCCAGAACCGCTCAGAGGGGAGTCACTCACAAGAGACAGGCTGGGTGGGTGCCAGGATTGGGCCTGGCACCACTGCACACCCCTCATCCCCTTGCTTCCTTGGTCTCTGCCCAAACTTTGCCATCTGTGTGGCAGCAGCTCCACTCCTGCCTCCCTGCTGGGGACCAGACGCAAGCCTTCAGAATCTTCCCCTCCGTCCCCAGCCAGACCTCCTCTCTGCCCTGCTACTTCCGGCAGGCAGGTTAAGAGTGAGAAATACAAGGAGAGAGGAGTGGCTCTCAGCGCGGCTCAACCCAGGACCAAAGAGGATGTCCTCAGCTCGCACTTCACTTCATTTGATCGCTCCTCTCTCCACTCCCCCGTCCCTTCACTGCGGCTCCCTCTCAGGCAGGCTGCCCACCCCGAAGTGGCACAGACAGCCCATCCCCATTCCGAGACCCCAGGCGGAGAGAACAGCTCCGGCTTGCTAGCCCCTCTAGCCACCTTCGGGGTGACCAGCCGGCACCCATCTCGGGCGGCTTGCGGGGCCAGGGCCCCAGGGGAGTGAGTTCCCAGCCTTGGACCCATGGCTGTGTCGCTGATTATTCGGCTAGTCTAGGATGGCATGCCTACCTCCCAAACTAGACATGGTCCCAGCCCACCCACGACACGTGGGCAGACTGTGTGGGAGGTGCCATTCCAAACCAGGTGGCTTCTGTCCCCAGGACGCTCAGAAACAAGAAGGACCCTGGGGGCCACTTGGAAGGCGTGCGGTGGACTCCCGTGTCAACTTTCGCTGCAGAACAGATGGCGGCACCACTCAGGGGCCTAACAAAGCCATCCTCTTAAACTCATCACGCACTGGCTCAGCGGGAAGGGAGTCTTCCAGTCTGGGTGCTCACGGCCCATGGCGGGTTGGCTGGTTTCTGAGTGAGCTAAAGGGCTTCTTTCCTTGGGCTGATGGGTGTCTGGCTGTGGGCTGGGCTCCCTGGCTTCTCGACACACCCTCTCGCCCCAGGGGGACTAGCTTGCACTCGTTCACACGCTGGTCTCTGAACTGGAAGTGAAGCAAGGGGGCAAGTGCCAAGGCAGAAGCATTTTTCCAGCCTTTGCTTGCATGGAGCTTGCTGAAGTCTCAGGACAAGGCAAGTCCCCTGACCAAGCCCAGCACGAGGGTGGACAGATCCTACCACCGCGCCTGGAAACAGCGAGGGAGACTTGGCTGGCAGCTCTTCCGGGAAGGGGGTGGCATGGAGAAAAGCCCTCTCTCTGTGCCCATGGGCAGGAATGCCTGGGCCAGAACAGTTTATGGACGAAGTGACTGGCTCACTGGCTTTGCCCTGGTCCCTCAGCGCGTGGGCATGGGTGTGGGCTGGAGAGAGGGTCTGGGTGCTGACTGATCCACGTGGGAAGGTGCTGAGCATGAGCTGGCCGTGGGGATGCCCTCAGAGGAGGAGGGGAAGGTGTTCCCAACCCCGACTGCCAGTCTCTCTAGCCCTTCTCTTAATGGTGACCAGGCTCTCCCCATACCCCTAGGCTTGTCCGCACCCGCCAGTGTCCCTCCATTAGCCAGGAGCAGGGACGGCTCTTGGACTGCTCACCATGGTCACTGGTGTCACCTGCACCCTGGGTGGGGTCCCTGTGACAGTGACCCCCATTGCTCTCTCCCCACAGGTGGCTGCGCTGGAGCGGCAGATCTTTGACTTCTTGGGCTACCAATGGGCCCCCATCCTAGCCAACTTCCTGCACATCATGGCGGTGATCCTGGGCATCTTTGGCACAGTGCAGTACCGTTCCCGGTACCTCATTCTGGTATGGCTCACCCAGTCCCTCCCAACCTAGCCTCTTCCCCTGACTTCTGCCCGCCCCTCCTTGCCCCCCCCCGCCCCCCAGCTAGATCTCCCACTCCTGCCCCAGGCATCCAGAGTCCTGCTCTGTCTTAGCCATTGGGGTGGATGTCCCAAATCCCAATGCTTAGTTGGTATTCTTTTAACGAATTTCCTCTGGAGACAATCCAAGCCTTCACATATCCTTTAGGGAGCATCTGCCACATACCAGGTGCCACTAAGAGCTGTGTGAGCTTTCCCTCCTCTTTACACCAGCCCTGTGAGGTGTGTTTTCGACTCCATGTCCCAGATGAGGAGAGTGAGGTTTCTGGAGGTGGCTGGGCAGCCTTCACAAGCCACTGTGAGAGGGGAGCCCAAGATGGGCCTGGGTTTCAGTTTCTTGGCAGCGTGTCCTGGTCAGCTGGCTGCTGTGCTGGGTTTGACCCGCGGGTAGACTGGGGTCTGTCCTTGCACAACCATGCTCATCACGGCCTGCTCTAGAGCAGCCGGCCTGCACTTCAGTGCCAGGAGTTAGATTTTGTGTCTGCTTCCCTCCCGCCTTCTTCCTCATTCCAAGCCAGCCTCCCAGGGCCCATCAGACTTCTGTTTTCAACCAAACCCACCCATGCCCCTGCTGTTCCCGAGTGATCTTTTCCCAAGCCTCTCTTGAGGGAAAAGGCTTTTGACGTAGATTCACTGCCTACATGTTGGACGCCCACAATGACAGTGGCACACAATGTCACACTGTCACCAGAGCCCACTCCTACTCGTTCTAGGGACTCTCCCACCACCCACGGGCCAAGCTCCGAGGCGCCAGGTGAACAGGACCCTCCCCAAGCCCTCTCTCACCCAAGGTAGGAGAAGGGAGCCCTTCTCTGTTATCAGGCGAGTGTCCGACACCTGTGTGAGCAAGACTCCCTGCCAGGGGACAGCCGCTGACCCACAGGCACAGGACTTGAGTGGAAATAACGGGCTCCCGAAGCACTTCCCATCCCCTCCCTGGCCCGTCGCTGAGGGAAGGAGGCATTTTTCTTCCCAGAATTGGCCACGTCTGGGCCCAGGAGGACTGAAAGGCCAGCCCCTGCCCTCCACATCCAGCCAGATGGAGGGAGGGCTGGGGCCGGGGCACGGGCTTCGGTCAGTCAATGGAGTCTGCAGAACCAGGAGGGAAGGAAGAAAGGGTGTGGCCTAGTAGTGAGCCTCCAGGGTCCCGACCTGGGACTGGAACCCCTTCCCATCTGCTCCCCCTACCCATTGCCCTGTCCTTACCCCCTCATCCCTTCCACCAGCCACAGCCGAGTGTGAGATGTGCCCACTTGTATACTCAGCCACCAGGCTGTGGGATAACTTCCTGTCTCTCTCGTCGGAGGCTCCTAGCATCCTTAGGCTTCAGCTTCAACTTGCCTCTTCACAAGGATCACAAGCACTTATAAGAATGAAGGCTGCTTCTTCAGTAGTGAAGCGCTTTTCCACCCCTCCTCCCTCCTCCCTCCTTCCCCGCTATAGAAAATGCCTGCCCTCTGCCTCCCACATGACCCTGACAGTCACTTACAAAGACCAGCTGTGGCCTGACATGCACCACTTTGTAAGCCACTTCTTATAGCTGTTAGCAGATCCACCCACCCGAGGGCCTGCTGAGAGCTAGTCACCACCCTACAGTGGAGAGTAAGGTGGGCAAGGTCCCGGCCCTCTAGTGGCCTGCCGTCTCTAAGTGTCATTTGCTCATGTCACAGTCCTCTAGAGATCGCTTAAAACATTGAAGTTGGTTCGTCAGAGTTTAGCCTGTGCAAGGTGGGGTAAGCCCTAGGGAAAAATGTATTTAAAATACTCCTGAGCTCTTTCTTTCTTTTTTTTTTTTTCTTTTATATTTTTTATTTATTTAAATCATTTTGTTAGGGGCTCATACAACTCTTATCATAATCCATACACACATCAACTGTGTAAAGCGCATTTGTACATTCATTGCCCTCGTCATTCTCAAAACATTTTCTCTCCACTTAAAACTGAGCTCTTCCTGGAAGCAGATTCAGAACCAGCAGGTCGGAAGGTGACCCAAGAAAAAGCTCAGTGCCAGTGAACCGATGCCGACTCACGGGACCCGATAGGACAGGGCAGAGCTGCGCAGCCCTTGAGCTTCATCTCCACCAATGCGCCCCATCCTCATTACCCAGGCCTGCCTCTGACCCCACCTCTGCTTTTCCCAGTATGCAGCCTGGCTGGTGCTCTGGGTTGGCTGGAACGCGTTTATCATCTGCTTTTACCTGGAGGTCGGCCAGTTGTCCCAGGTAAGCCTCAGGCCTCTCAGTGCCGTGAGACAGAGATTCTACTGCTTCCCCAGGGGTCCCACGTGTGGGGTTTGGGGGCACCATCTGTTGGTACCCTCCACACAATCACATAATCGGTGCTCCCCCAGTTTGTTCCTGCCCTCTCTGCATTTCTTTAAAACAAACGAAGGAGCAGATAAGGCCAAAGAAAAGTTTGTGTGGAGATGGGCTTGAGGCCCCCGTTGATCACAAGCTCAGAAAAAGCAGTAGTATGTAGTGGCCCAGAGAGCAACTCTTACCAAACCCACCCAACCCGCTGCTCTGAAGTCATCGCGGACTCACAGCAGCCCTGTCTCCATGGAAGCAGACTGCCGCATCTTTCTCTCACCCCCCTGCCGGCTAGCAACTGCGCACCTGAACCACTGTGCCACCAGGCCTCTGCGTCACTCTTCGCCCTCTCCAGTAGCGACAGAAATGTCAGAGCAAGGCATGTCAAAGGGCTGTGGCCCTGGTACGGCTCAGAGACTTGTATTTATTCAAGGAAAATCAAAGGGACTGTCATATGGGGAAGAGCCCTGGCATTGTGGTTATGCATCGGGCTGCTAACTGCAAGGCCAACAGTTTGAAACCACCAGCTGCTCTGTGTGTGGGAGAAAGACAAAGACCAGGCGTTCTACTCCTGTCAAAGAGTTACAGCCTCAGAAATCCACCCTGTCCTACAGGGTTTCTGTGAGTCAGAACCGACTTGATGGCAGTGAGTTTGGTGTTTGGATGTCTTTGGGTAGAGGGTGGGGGTGGGCAGTGCCTGGGGACACTGTTGAAGCAGTCAAGCTACAAACCCAGGGATCTAAGTTCAAACCCAGCAGCCGCTTGGCAGTGGAGCAGCGCTGGGGCAGTCTGCTTCTGTGAAGATGACAGCTTGGGAACCCTGGGGGCAGTGCTGCGCTGTCCTGCAGGGTGGACTCGAGGGCAGTGGGCTTGGTTCCTGTCGGATGGAGAACTTGTACAGAAGGTGTATTTCGCTTGGAGGACACCATGAGAGGACGGCAAGTCCAGGGGGAGACAGTGTCCATTTTCAGAGTGGATAAGAACCTGGGCTTTGTAACTTGGCGCAGCTAGATTCAAGTCCCAACTCTGACATTCCTGCGTGACCTGGGGAAGTGCCCTCACCTCACTGAGCTTCCGTTTCCTCCTCTATCAAGTGGAGGTCACGTCAACCCCAACTAAATGAGGTTGCCAGAGGAGGAGATGATAGGCATCTAAGGGCTTATTCGCCCGAGCAGCACACAGCGGGTGAGTGAGTGCATGTGTGAGTGAGTGAGTGGATTGATGAGGATTGAGGATGCCCATACCTGAGAGCTGCTTGAAGCTAGCCCTGCCTCCATTGGATAGAGAGAGGCTGGAGATCGAAGCCACCAGAGGTTTACCCAGGGTCACACACAGGGAGAGAGGAGCGAAATGGGCCATGAATGGGACCAATATTAAGGGTTTCACCAATCAGTGGGCAATTTGACCTGTTCACTCACTGTTAGTGCTCCTTCCAGCCTGAAATTCAGGAGTCTGTAGTAGATCAGCAGCTGCCCCTTCCATTCCAGGCATGGGAAAAGTGAAGTCTGCATGGCCATCTAGTGCCATCTACTGGCCAAACGTGGACAGGTGCAGACTCCCAAGCTCCCTCATCAAACCTGCTGAGGAGGCTGCTCTTGCTGAGTCCCAGTATGAAGCAGGCCTTCCATAGGGTCTCCTGGGACTTGGGGAGTTTCTCTTTCTCCTCCCTGCTCAGTATCCCAGGCCCCTCTGCCCCCAGGACCGGGACTTCATCATGACCTTCAACACATCCCTGCACCGCTCCTGGTGGATGGAGAATGGTCCGGGCTGCCTGGTGACACCCGTCCTAAACTCCCGCCTGGCCCTGGAGGACCACCACGTCATCTCTGTCACCGGCTGCCTGCTTGACTATCCCTACATCGAGGCACTCAGCAGCGCTCTGCAGATATTCCTAGCAGTGAGTCCTTCTAGCCTGGCTTCCTGTTCTTGTCCACCCCACCCCAGGGGCGTTATCAAGTGCTTGTCAAGAGGGGGAGGGATCTGGGTCTTCAGGCCATACCTTGTAGCACCTCCCTTTGGCCCTGCTCCTGGCCTCCTGCAGGCAGGGAGCAGATCTAAGGAACAGGATGGCACATCAGACCGCGAGTCATTCTTGGGTGGGTTTCCATCCCCACTACACCCCATGTGTGACCTTGGAGAAGTCATCTTGCCCTCTCCAAGTGCATTCCCATATTTGCAAATAGGAACGACCGTACCCACCTCGGAGCATTTCCAGGATGAAAGAGACTGCTTGGTGATGTGGAAATGGTCCCAAACTAGTAGTCATTCCCATTTCTGGAAGAGGTGCTCTGGGTGAGCCCTGTTCCAGGCGCTTTAATCCACATAACTTCACATGATCCTCCTGACAACCGATGTGCTATTTTTTTTTAAAACATTTTATTAGGGGCTCATACAACTGTTATCGCAATCCATACACACATCAATTGTGTAAAGCGCATTTGTACATCATTCTCAAAACATTTTCTCTCCACTTAAACCCCCTACATTAGGTCCTCCCGATGTGCTATTTATCTAAGTCCACTGGGGGAAGCTGAGCGGCCCCCACCCCCACCCCAACCCCACCCCGTGAGGTAAAGTAACTACTTGCCCAAATTTACACTCCCAGAACAGAGAACAGGACTGGGTATGTTTGACTTCAACTTTAACTTCATCGTTTAACTTGGCGTTGTTCTATGGGTTTGGCCTCGGCCTGACACCTGTTACCAGCAGCCAGACCTGACAGGTATCCCATAGGTGCTCCCCTCCTTGACGCACTGCCCTGTCCCCTTTCCCAGCTGTTCGGCTTTGTGTTCGCCTGCTACGTGAGCAAAGTCTTCCTGGAGGAGGAGGACAGCTGTGAGTGCGGTGCCCCGCCCCTGGAGAAGTGCTGGCACGTGGCTGCTCGCTGCCCTGGCGCCTTCAGCACCTTGGACAGGGCCGAACGGCCGCGGCGGGAGGGACCTGGGCTGGCCCAACTGGCGGCCGGGAAGGAGCCCATTCCAAAAACCCCACGTGACCCTGCCCCTACTTAGATTTTACAAACCCCACCTCTGCCTGCCCAGCCCCTGTAATCTCGCCTCGCCCCGCCCAGCCCCTGGGGCTTGCTCCCTGGGAGGCCGCACTGCCCTGCTGACTCCACCCCCTCGGGGCCTGGCTCCACCCAGCCTTAAAGCTCCCTCTCTGTTTGGAGTCTGGCTGGTCCCACGCCGTCTCTGGCTTTGTCCCGGAGCGTGGGGCCCTGCGCTTCAGATGCTTCCCTAACAGGACCCTAGACGCAGGTTCCTATACACGCCCCGCTCCTACCTTCCAACCCCCCACCGCCACCCCACCCCGACCCCAGTAGCCAAACCGTCCTAATTTTGCCCCACCTCCCGCCCACAGTTGACTTCATTGGCGGCTTTGACTCCTACGGTTACCAGGCGCCCCAGAAGACGTCGCATTTACAACTGCAGCCTCTGTACACGTGGGTCCTGGCGGGGGGCGGGGGTGGGGGGGGTGGCGGAGCGGAAGTGGTGGTGGATTGGGATGTTAGTAGTGGGGTGGGGGAGTGCAGCGGAAGGGAGGGCAGCCGGGTTTCACTGCCCCTGTACCTTCAGGGACTTCTCTCTGAATTCCAACCCGCCTGCGTTCTCTCCAGGTCCGGGTAGCTTCTGCCCCGCGTCCTCCCACGGCGCCGCGCCCTGGGAGGCTGGACGGACAGCCGCTGCGGACAGACTGACAGCTGCTGCGGCCAGCTCCAGCCAAGACAGGAGGACGCGCCCTCTGGCGATTCGTGGAGCAACTGCAGCCCGTGCCGGCCCCCACCTAGATCTGCAGCCAGAGACGCGGACTTGGCCTTGGCCTTGGGCCCTTGCAGCTCGGACTTCAGGGGTGGGGCGGGGCGGGGTTTGTAAATTTTTTTAATCGCAGCCTTGGTGTGAGCTGAGGCCTCCCTTCCTTCCCCTGTCTCTACCATTCACCCTCCACTTGCATCCTGCTTTCTGTCCGTAGACAAAGCAGGAGGGACAGACACCGCACGCGCACACACCAGCCGTGGAGAGATACCTCGAACTGAGCAGGAGCCCTACTCTGTCACGGACTCTATCTGTGGCATTTCGCAAAACCCTTGTCTTCTCTAGGCCTCGGTCTCGCTGGCCTTCACTAATTTAAACAATCCCTTAGCAGGAGGAAGTCCTTCTAGCCTTCTCATTGGTTCCCAATTCCTTGGGCTAGGCTGGAATTGCTGGTCCCATTCTGCAGATGTGAAAACCGAGACCTAGTGATGGGAAGCCGTTTGCTACAGCCACACCGTTAGGCAGTTGGTGGAACCAGACCTTGAACTGCACTTTGTGTTTTTGCAGACTCCCAAACCCCAAGGCTGGTGATCTCTGAATCTCATTTCTAAACCCCCTTCCAGCTGGCACACTCTAGGATCCACATGATCTCCAACACACACACACACACACACACACACACACACACACACACACACACACACACACACACACGCACACACCATTGCCACCACTTGCCAACACCTCTCTTAAAGCAATATACCCGTTCTCTCGCTGGGAGCCAGATGGACGGAGCCCAGAGCCCTGAATTCAGCCTCTGACCGCAGCGGGCACATCTTTCAAGCGCTCTCCTTTAGTAAAGGAGAGCAGGGGCGCAGTTCAACTGCCTCACCCCTCTAGGTCCTTGAGGCTGGGTTTGCTGCACCTCCGACCCCCCTCCCCTTCACCCTGTCCACCAACCCCAGAAGGCTCCACCCACCTCACCAGATGGCAGACCTATGGTTCCCGAGTGGAGCCTGTGCAGAATGGGGGTGTAGGAGGGCCAGGAGCCCTGCCCTACCTTGGGGTAATATAGAAACAAGGCTTTTTACTCCACAGACACCCCTGAGGGAGGAGTCAGGCCTCGGTGTCATGCCTGTGAAAGGGGAGTGGGCCTGGCTTAGAATGGAGGATGGGACACTGGAGGGAGCCCCGACTCCAAACCTCTGCCTACCTGGCCTGGCCATGAGGACCACTCTGTCCTTGATCCCCACGCTTGGCCCTAGCACTTTCTACTCTGGGAGGCCAAATAGCGTGGAACTCAGACCACACTCACACTGTCCCATCTACAGTGCCGTGCCCTGTAGCCAGCCCCGGGACTTCTGCTGGCCACCAGGAGCACCAAGGCCCCAGATGGTCCACCCAGCCAGCTGGCGGGGCAGCTCCAGAGGGCAGCAGTCCCCTTGGGGCTGCACCAGCTCCTGCCTCCAGCCTCCTCTCCTACCACCTCTCCCACCTCACTCTCCTCCCTCTTTCTACTCAACGGGTTTAGCCACTGGTGCTTTGAAGCCTTTTGTTTTTATAAGATGGTCTTTGCACGGGGACTGGGCCCTTCTCACGGGGACCTTGTGAGGCGGGTAGTCCCTGGGTCTCTGTGCAGGTGGGTTGATTAAAGATGGTGTTTTCTTCTCTGTCTTCCTGTGCTCCTGACCTGTGAGTCAGCTGGGCTTCTCAGGGAGAAGTCCCTCATCGGGCAGGCGTGGGCAGGGGCAGGTTTGGCATGGTCATCATCGTCAAACATGGCTGGCCACTGTCCTGGCTGTGTGACTGAACAAGTCTCCTTTCTCTCTCTCTCTTTCTCTCATTCCTCATCCACAAGCCAGAGATTGGACTCAATCAGTGGGCTCTCCAACCTGGCTTCCCAGGCTTTGGGACAGGTTTCTGATGAAGTACTTTCCAAGTTTAAGCTTCCAAATAGCCTTTTCTTCTTGGTTGTGCCCTCCTCCTGACAGTTCGGCTGCATGGCTGCTTCTGGATGAGCTGTCAGGCACAGCTCCTACGTCCCACCCGAAACACAATTTCCTGGCAATACAGCCCAGGAATCCATATTGTTTTGTTTTTTTTCAGAAGAGTAATGTGCATGGCACAGGGCTGGCCAGTGTGCCATCCTCTCCTCTATAGGGGGCTCTTTCCGAGCTGCAGCCGACTTCATGGCACTTTAGCAATAGCCAAACCCAAACCAAACTCACTGCCGTTGTGGCGATGCCAGCGTGTCGCGGTCCTGTAGGACAGGGTCTATAGAACTGCCCGGGGGGTTCTGAGATTGTCACCGTTTACGGGAACCCCTGATGGCTTTGAACCTCTGACCTTGTGGATCTCAGCCCAATGCGTAACCACTATGCCAGCAAGGCCTCCTGCTAACATCAACACTGGGGTACAAACAGTCAAGCAAGTTGGGTTGCTTACTAAGAGCTGGACAGTTCAAAGCGTGGCGGGAGAAAGTTCGGGTGATTTACTTCTGTACAGATGGCTTCCATCCAGGCCCCTCTGCTTGGCCACAGGGAGGTGCTGTGAACCGAATCTCAACAATCCCCTTTTTTCATAAATAAAATACCACGAAGTCATGCTGGCTCCCAGTGACCTAACTGTGCTACAGGTAAGGACTGTGCCAGAGGGTTTCCCTGGGGTGGCCATTCTGGAATAAGGCCCCACTGACTGGGTTTGAACTGCCAGCCTTTACATTAGCAGTCGAGTGGAACCTCCCTAGATGCTTTACATTTTACACAAATTGTCATCGAGGAAGCACATGAAGGGCTCTATGCTCTGCCCTTACTCTTTCCAGTTGTGATTGCAGCTTGGAAATCTTTCCCCGGTAACACAAGTAGAGCCATACCCGCCCATCCACAGCACCACGGTAGAATGGGCATTTTTGTCACGAGATCCCCACGAAGCCCCGATGCAGCTAAGGGATCAGAAACAGGTTCTTACATAGGGATACCCTCATTCCTTTATGTCAACCCCTGTGGGCCGTGAGCCACGGGGACACCTGGGATCCCCAGGAAAGAAATTACAGACATTGATTGTCCTTGAGCTTGCTGGTCTACTGGTGAGCCCCCAGGATTAGTAGGCGGAAGGGTGATTCTGAGGACCTGGTGGAATGATAAGGGATCCTTACTTTAATGGGCGTTTCAAGGACATGGGATCAGACTATCCCAGGTGGGCGGGCTCAACAGCAGGAGCAAGGGTGGAGGTAGGAGGAGGCCTGGAGTTGAGAGCAAGAGAAGAGTGGTGTTCATTTTCTGCTGCTTTAACACATTATCACTTTAGTGACAAAGCAGTAAAAGTTGATTCTTTTAGAACCTTCCTTGCAGAACTCAAGATGTCAGCCAAGCCGCATTTCTTCTGGTGGCTCCAGAAGAGGTTCTGTCCCTGTGACTTTGCTAGCTTCTACAGCCTCCTGCAAAGGAGCCCTGGTGGTGTAGTGGTTGCATGTTGGACTGCTCACTGCAAGGTCAGCGGTTCAAAACTACCCACCACTCCTTGGGAGAAAGGCCGCGCTTTCTACTCCCATCAAGAGTGACAGTCTTGAAAACTCTTGGGCATTTCTACCCAGGCCTGTAGGGTCGCTGTGAGTCGGTATCGACTTGAAGGCAACGAGAGGGCTGCCTGTGTTCCTTGGCCCATGAGCCCTTCCATCTTCAAAGCCAGCAACATTTCTCTGCAACGCTTTCCAATGCATGTCTGACAACGGCTGAGCAAGATGGTCTGCCTTTAAGGATTCTTGTGATTAAATTGGGCCCACTAGGATAATCTAATCACACCTGCAACAGCCCATTCACCGTGTAACACAGAAGAGGCACTGCATCCGGGAATCCCAATTCTGATCCTGGGAACCCCGTGTGTCACAGGCTAATTGTACTCCATTAGGTTTTTAATGGCTCGTTTTTCAAAAGTAGATAGCCAGGCCTTGCTTCTCAGGCGCCTCTGGGAGGACTTTAACTCTCAACCCTTTAGTTTGCTGTCGAGCATCATCTTAACTGTATTGGTATCCAGTTGCTGTGTCCCATCAAGTCCATTCTAAGCACCCTGAGCCTCTAGGAGAGTAGTGCTGCTCCGTTGTGTCTCCTGGGCTGTCACTTTTTCTCCCTTTGGGGTGACAACCAAGTGCTTAACCACTGTGCCACCAAGACTGGGTCATCCTGTATCTAGCTACTACAAGCAGACAATACCCAAACAAACTAAACTGACTGCCGTCAAATCCAAGTCATAACTGCCCTATCTTGGATTTTCAAGACTAATCTCTGTGGGCGCAAACAGCCCCATCTTCCTCCTGTGGAATGGCTGGTACGTACCCGGTGATAGCTGCCCTAAATGTCAATGCATCCATTCCATGCAATGATTGTGGGTAGCGACAGAAGGATTTTGAACATAAGTGACTCACCCAGAAATATCCTTTACAGAGAACTAACAGAGGTTCCGAAGAAAACAGGATGGTATTTGGTGGGGTGCCAGCCCCCACAACTGAATGGGTCCAAAGGCTGGGAGTGTAATGGAGAGATAAAGAGACTTCAGGCAACATAAAGCATGCAAGGGTTCACCTCCACCGCCATGACTCCAGGAGCCAGGTCCACGCAGAGAGAATATATTTCCAACAGAGATTTATATACTCTGGGGGAGGTGGTGTTCAAACCCCCCTAGTTACAGGTAACCACGTACATAACAAAGTGGGCTGTACCCTAGCCCTAAAGGTCCCTGAGTACATTGGAGGAGTAACCCAACACCAGTGCTGGGGACAGGTATGAGGGAGTGGCTGTCTTCAGAACCTAGAGAGCTAGAAAGCTCTTAGTTCAAGCAGCGGGCTAGATAGCAATCAGGGATGTGCTGGATGTGCTTGCAAGAGGTAACTTGAAGGCAACACTATTAGGGGAGGATATAGTGGGGAACAGTGTTAATTAGAAGAATGTGATTAGGACTGTCTCTGACTGGGGGGAGGGGGGCGCGGGGGGACCTCCCTCCACCCCAGAAACCCGCCTGCCAAACTTCTTAACATAAGAGAATAAAGGATTCTTCCCATTCTTTGTTTCCCACAGTATTTTAATCTAATTTTCACGTGTGTCATGTGGATCTTGCTCCTGGCTGGGATTTTTACCTGGAGGCCAAGAGTTCCAGCATGTCATTTGGAGCTCTGGAGCTGGCTGGTGCTGGAGAGTAAAGATTTGAGTGGGGAGTCAAGGACCTTGAGTCCAAATCCCACAGTTGCCACTGGGGCAGAACCAGTCGAGCTGGTCTTCCCACAGAGCCTGGAGCACTTTCCCCAGTGCCGATGGACTCCAGCCATCTCCCACAAACAAACCCTTACAGAAGAACAGTCCCTGTATTGTCCACCTCTCTTCCCAATAACTGTTGAGTCATAAAGCGGAGGTGGGGGTGGGGTTGCCATCGAGCTGGCTCTGACTCACGTAGAACAGAACCAAACATGACCTAGTGCTGCACCATCCTCGTGATGGTGATAGGTTCAAATCCCCTGGGGTGGCCCCTGTATCTTCTGTGCCTTCCAACCTGTGGGTCAACTTTTGGCACCAGGTTGGGTAACATTCTGTTGTGATCCGTAGGGTTTCCATTGGATACGTCTCTAAAGTAGAAGGCCTTTCCTTTATGTTAGACTGGGAAGCAAACTTGTCCACAGAGAGGAGGGAAGAAAGACGCCAAGCAACATGCAGATCACCCAAGAGCAGAAGCTCAAAGAGAAGAACCCTTCCAGAGCCAGCAGAAAGAAAGCCTTCCCCTGGAGATGGAACCCTGCACTGGTAGCCTCCTCAAGACTTAGTTCTGGAGTCCTGGTGGCTTAGTGGTTACCTGCTGGGTTGCTAACTGCAAGGTCAGCAGTTTGAAACCACCAGCTGCTCTGAGGGAGAAAGATGAGGCTTTCTACTCCTATAAAGATGTATGGTCTTAGAAACTTACAGGGGGAAGCTCTCCCCTGCCTATAGCATTGCTCAGCTCCATGGCAGTGAGTGAAGAAAGGCTTGATTTAAAGTCTGAAGGAAATGGCCTCCTGTTCATGTGAAAGCTGGGTAATGGCCCCAAATAGAGAAGAAACAGATGCATCTGACTCCTGGAGCAGGTAAGGAATACTGAATGCATCCTGACTGTCAGAAGGGCAAGCACATCGGTCTTGGGAGTAGTACAGCCAGAATGCTTCTTAGAAGCCAGGATGGAAAGGCTTTGTCTCGAGGAGGGACAAAGGAGGAGGGATCGAATCTCGGAGGAGGCCTTGGCAAAGTTGAGGGTCAGGGAGAAAAAGGAAGACCCCCGAGATGTATTGACACAGCGGTGGCTGCAACAGTGAACCCCACTACAACGAGGGTGGTGAGCATGCCCTGGGGCCAGCGGCGTTTTACACAGGGTCTATAGTCTATAGTTTCTGGTCACTTCAGGCATTTTGTTCTTAACATGTTGTTGTGAGTTGGGAGGGTGAAGGTAGAGGGCCATCCTCCATTGACTTTCAGCAGTTTGTGCCCATTGTGATTCCCCTGATCCACTGCACTCCCTCCCCTCCAGGGTTCCGGTCTCCACCCCGTCTTTTCCCCTCCTCTGCCCGCTCTCCTTGGGCAAGTGCTGCCCTCTGATCTCAAGGGCTTGATGTTTCGAATGCGGAGGGAGGTTCGTTCAGTTCCAGACCTGTCTGGAGGAGG